ATGAAGCTATAGACCAAAAATCCATAAAAGAAAACACGAGGAGAAAAGATTTCCATCATATAATCATTCCTCGTTTGGTCATGACTATCCACTATTTTAAATATCAATCAATACGTCTATTTAACAGATTACCAATTGATTTAAAAACAACGATATACAAGAGTGGCTTCAAAAATACTTTAAAAAAGTTCTTGAACTAAGACTAAGTACTTGAAAAATTTTACTATAGTCTCAACGAATTTCTAGACAATAATGCAATTAAATAACCTTAAAAACTTTTTCCTGATATTTTAAATTTGTAACCATTGCTTGTTTTTATTTTGATAAACCATTACAATTTTTTTATTATTATTTTTTTGACATTTTATACTTTATTTATAATAACGAGACATAATTTCTATTGTTGAAATGTAAACGTCTCTTTGCTGTGCATCACTGCACAGTATAAAACAAAGTCATCCCGCTGTCTGTCTGTCCCTATGTACGCTTAAATCTTTAAAACTACGTAACGGATCTTGATGCGGTTTTTTTTACTAAATAGAGTGATTCAAGAGGAATGTTTATATGTATAGTACATTGCACCCGTGCGAAGCCCAGGCGGATCGCTAGTTTTACTTATACATACCATTTTAATTATATTTTGTTTTTGTTTTGCATGAATAATGTATTGCTCAGAATAAAGGAATTGGAATTTGAAATTAGTCCAAGTTATATCGTCCATTAGTTGTTTAAATTGAAAAGTTTTAAGATTTTTCGCTAGTGTACAAAAGAAATTGTATTTAGAATATATAAATTGTTTGTGGACGATCAATAAAGATTTTCTATTCTATTCTATTCTATAACAATTTGGTAATTAATTATAGAGAGCTGCAAACACTCGAAGCGAATGAGGAAGTTTGGGGGAAAAGTATATATACCAACATTTACACTTCATGTAAAAACTTGTGTTTTTACACTTTCAGAAGACTATAACACTCTTCACTAAGCTAAGTGGTCAATATTATCACTGCGCGAAAATGACGACTTTCTTCTTATCCAAGTACTATGTTTTTATTGCATTTTTAAAATAAACATTAAAAAAAAACAGGGAAATTTACTCATCGAGGATTTATCTACACTATTTTTTTAAACTTTAATAATACGTACTCACTTCACACCACTCTTCTATGAGACGGCGGTAGGTACTTCACGAGACGATTGTGCCCATTCGTTTAACGGCATAAGCTACTGTTTGATAAGTTAGTTACGTAAGAACTTAGTACTCAAGAAGTTCTTAGAAAACAGATTTACCTTTCACAAAATTGCCCAAAAATACCTACATGATTATGTATGTGTTTAGCCAAGCTTTTACTCGGCACACGCTAAGCATAACATTTTGCTAAAAGGTGTGGAGTAGAAAATGGGTTTGGAGGTTGAAGGAACTTCTCTCTAAACCCTATTTTTAAATGAGAGAAGGTGGCCACTGCCGGCACTTTACTTAAAAAAATTCACTGATGAAAACGAGATATATGATGGCCGCTGAGAAAGGTGCGGTTAGAACTTACTACATAGGCTGGCCTAGGGCGGCCATGACCACAAATCTGCGACAGATTCCGTTTATTAATAATTTATTTAATCTATCTGTTTAAACAGTCTAAATGTGACTAATAACACATACATAATACATTGAAAATTTTTTTCCTCTGCGATGGATTCGAACCAGCATCTTCTGCATAAGTTGGAATTTTATTGTAGTCTTTGATTAAGATGGATGAAGATTCATCGTTAACATACTTATACAAAAAATAGATGGCTTTCAATTCGTCGTTACGTTTTTTTTGTTACCTAGCGAAAAGATAAAACAATGGGATAAAATTTATATAACCCGATACTTTGTCCCCTTCTGTCTTGTATAGTCTATAAAAATTTACATTTTATAGACTATACAGGGACTTTGGGTCGAACTGTTAGTCACTTTTCCAATGAAGACGAGAAGGGAACACATATAGAGAATACAGATAGTACTCTACTGTTCTCGAGAATCTATTCTAGTCTGTTTTTCACTAGACCTTTTAGGATTTTAGCTATTACTAAGGTACTAAAATTGGGATAATAAATGGGTTCTACCATGAGTTTGATACACGTACAGGCTTGAAAATTTTGTTATAATTATTGAAGAATAGTCACCATTTTTAATAAACAAGCTTCGAGCAGTTGTTATAGTAATGATATTGTTCGGTGGGTAATCAAAAAATTGTTATATGTTCAATACTTGATTTGGCCCACAAAATTAAGTATGATTATTTCATTGAAGACAGAGATAGAATTTGGTAGAAACGACGAGCGCTGATCTGAGAACTTCTCCAGTCTGTTTTTCTAGACCTTTTAATTTTTCTATCAACACTTCCAAATTGGGATTGGAATGGGTTTTACATGGTTTGATACAGGTACAGGCTGGAAAAGGTTTTGTTATAATTAGGAATGTGGAATAGGTCACCATTTTTAATAAACAATGTCGAGCAGGTTATGTGGAACATGTATTGTTCGGTGGGTAATCAAAAAATTGTTATATGTTCAATACTTGATTTGGCCCACAAAATTAAGTATGATTATTTCATTGAAGACAGAGATAGAGTTTGGTACTTAACGACGAGCGCTGATCTGACAACTTCTCCACGGTTTTCAGTATTAATATATTCTATCAACACTTCCAAACAGTTGGAATGCTTTGGAACAGGTAATGTGGAACAGGTAATGTGGAACAGGTAATGTGGAACAGGTAATGTGGAACAGGTAATGTGGAACAGGTAATGTGGAACAGGTAATGTGGAACATTGGGATAACTACAGTAAAATAATTTTACTTAAAAATTCATTGGAAATAAAATTTTGTTGTCCCCAACGTAAGTATTACATCCCATTAACATTCTATTTCAAGCCGCGATTTAATATAAAATATGTAGAAAAAATACGGAAAGATTGTCGCCGCTTTGGGAATCGAACCCACGTCTTAGACACTCGCGGCCTGATGCTTTAACCACTAAGCTAAACGGCTGATTGCCACACCAAGGAAAATATTAACGTCTTTTATCTACGTTGATTTTTTTAGCATTTGAAGCAATGCTTGGCGCATGCATTGTTATATCCTTTCCAGCATAATATACAGCGTGTCGTTACCATCGCGACAATAAATGAATGAACACAAGTCTAACGCTACTTGCCAATAATCATAAAAAAATATTAAAGTTAAAAAAAATGCGTAATTAAAAAAAAATAATTTTCAAACAAATTAATTAAGTAAAAAAAGAAACAAAATTTGTGACATCTTATGCAACTACAACTGACTGATTCATACATTCAGAGACTTTTTCATTCGTTGCCACGGCGTCGCATTACAACCCACTCCTTCTAAAAGTAGGTTTTGTCTCTTTTAAATTCATTCAACCTATTCATATGCTTTGTGACCTTTACAAATGAACTTTACATTAAAGTGTTATACGTAAGGGGGTGTTCTAAAATTCTTTGTTTTGGAAAATTTTATAACTCGTTAAATATGGATGTTTAAAGAATGTAAATATTTAATACAATTTTAAAAAGTTATCCTCTATATGTGTGTTCATTTATTGTCGCGATGGTAAAGACACGCTGTATAACAATGTTTAGCTCATCACAATGTTACTTAAAAATTTTGAAGAGCAAAATCCTAGAATCCTATCTAAAATATTTACAACGATTTTCTATGAGTGGCCTTTAAAAAATTGGGTTTATTGAATCCATAATAAAATCATCAAAGTATTAAATATTTTGTAAGTTCAATGTTTTAACCAAAAATCAATGTACCTTTTTGATTTGTTAATTTTAATTGCAGAATTTTCTATTTATTTAATTATTTTAATCTGAGGTTTTGTGTAGGGTTTTGATAGGAACACAAAACCTTAAATTGCTCCCTTACAGGTCTTAATGGCTGTACAAGAATTTGGAGAATTTGATGCATTTGAACCTCTAATCTGTGATTGTAATTTGATGTCTGCAGCTCATCACTGAAATGATTTGGCCAGTTTGAATGGCCCATGCATTACCTAAATTGTGAATGAAATAACAAATAAAACATGCATACATTGAAATTTATTTATTTTCGTCTTAAATAACACAGTGTACAAGTTAAAAGTTGGTTGTCTGAATTTTTTCCCAAAAAAATTAAAAAGATTTTTATTTTGCTTTGAGATTCCACAACAAAGTGTTAATAGGTACATTCCATTTAATAACTCTTTTTAGAAGTACCAAATTTAGAAAACTATAAGATTTATCTAAAGAAATAAACCCTACAACACATAATGCTTACCTATTACCATTAAGTTTGACTTTTGTTTAGCTTTATGTTGCACCCCGCAAACAAAAAATATAAAAAAAAAAAAAAACAAATAAAAAAAATACATAAGAAAATGGCTTACATAATTACTTACATTGTTTAAAGGACATTTATTCTGAAAACAGAAATAGTAAATGTTCAATTACAATAAAATTACTAGTAACTAGGTACTTTTTATTACTATTAATTATGTCTTGCTATACTACAGCATTATTAGGATTAAATAGACATTCATGGTTAAATGTGGACTCCTTATGCAGATCTGCTCAATATCTTGAAAAGAATAATTTAATGAAATTTGCATTAATTTAACTAGCAGTAAAGTTTTATAACACTGTTTTTAAACTCGGCCATTCATATTTAAGACAATAACTGAAAATATACATATTTTTCAAGAGTTTGAGCATTATCTCTATGTGGATATTTCACTAAATCCATAATAAAACTTGTCACTATAGATGGGCGTCTTAATCATGAAAACATTAACTTGGGTTAGTTTCAAGAAAGGACATATCATTCAACATCGAGCATAGTTAGTTTTTGGGACATACAAATATTAGTATTTTGTGCAAACACAAAAGCAATGTGTCAATATCAAATGTTACTTGCATCAGTCTTAGAAGCGTTGGTTGTTTGTTTGGCCACTTATATTATTGTTGGTCTTCTAAAATTTTATAAAAAAAGAAATAAAAAAAAATCATAAATTAACACAAAATGATTTTTAAACACCAGTTTTTTCATTTACATGTAGTTATATTATTAATTAGATCATTGTGCTAACATGCCTTAGAATTATGCTTATGTAAATTAATGCTTATATAAATGCAATATAATATATTTGTCTCAATTATTATTTTTACTTCTTCAAAACACTATTATTTAATTAGTCTTGTATATCTATAAAAAATACTATTTTATGTAACCAATGCTGCTTTATCTTAACAGGTTACTCACCAACATATTTAACTTCATCAAAAGCCTTTCGAGCCTTTTTCAACTCTTCATTCATTGTAAGTAAGTCTTTAACCCTAGCATATTTACGAGGGTCTTTTCGAACTAAGAATATAATGTCTTCTACTTGAACTCTGCCAGGCCGTCCAACTTCCATTGCCCTTCAATACAAAGATAATCTTAAGATAGTATAAGAAATTCAGCAGATAGTATTTTCAGATATAAATATGATACAATCTATAAATGACCTACTTTGAATAGTTTAATACTTTTGACTTGACTTTTTACCTTATTTGCTCTTGCTGTACTTATTTTATTAACCCACTGATTATTACTCTTGATTCATGCAGTTTTAAAAATCAGTCTTATTTTTATGCAATCATATCCCTAATCCCTTAATAAAAGAAACATTTGACTAATAAATATGCACATTTACATTACATTACTAACTTTTATTCAAACATGTTTTGGTAAATATAAATAACTTTAACTCCGGCGTGATTCAATTGAAATAAATTTTAAACGATAGAGAGGGATCAGTAATGAATTTATCAACAAGCAGAATTTGGCGGTCGCTTGTAGTTTTCGAAAAAATAAATAATGAAATAGTGTGATTTTTACTATAGAAATCCGCCATTTTTTTGTTGTCAATATGTCAATTCAGCTGGTATTTCTTGGTGGTCATAAAAAAAAAACACCTAACATAGAAGGTTAAGGCGGGAGCTTCGCTCCCGCCTGAACCTTCTAACCTAATCTATCCGAGTCGGATTCGCTCTGTGACTCATTAAATTAAAAAAAAAATGGGAATATCGATACGTGTATGATGTCGCCCGCTTCCTATATTTATCACGTTGGCAAAACTGTGTATTGAGTTTTTGAAGTCAAACAAATAAAATCGTGGATTTCTTAGTACAAAAAACAAGTTTTAAATATTTTTTTCGCGAAAACTATAAGCGACCGCCGAATTCTGCTTTTTGATAAATTCATAACTGATTTTTCTCTATCGTTTAAAATTTATTTGATTTGAATTACGCCGGAGTTAAAGTTATTTACATTTGCCCATGTTTTTACCAAAATATAACAATTTCATAGAGTTTAACTTACTTATGAGTAGTTTCAGTAATGAACTCAATTACAAGATCTTCTAAAAAGTCAACACTCTCCGTGTATGGGTTCTGGTCATCCCCAAATCCGTACATCATACAACGAAGTTCCTTACTGAATAACCTTTTTCGACCAGATGCAGTAGCTCCAAGTTGCTGTTCTGTATCATCATCATCAAACTATGAAAAAAAATGTAATAAAAATCTTACTGTTGCATTTCAGCCAAAATTGTTATAATGTAAACATTTAACTTACTTGATCAAATTGGTCTGGAGTATCTGGTGTAGGAGTAGCCATGGCATTAAAATGTTTTATGCGATTTTTTGATATAATAAAATATCAATCTTAATTATTAAAGAAATAATTAAATAGAAGGTTAACAATTATAATTAACAATAATAATTCTAGAATTCAGGTGTGTTCTGTTTACTTGACGTTATGATTTTTGACATAAATGGATTTACGCACTACGTTTTGAAGGGAAACCAGGGTAAACATAAATGATTAATTAAAGAGTACTTTTATTAGGTACATCTGTAATGTCTGTAAATGATTTTTTTGTTGTGAAGCAGACTGAAGAAAACACTAGACAGTAACAGTGCTTCTAGGGGTGTGAAAAATATAGATTTTCATTTTAATCGATTATTTTTCTTCTGATAATCGATTTTAAAAAAATGTTTTTTCGATTATTAAAAAATCGATTATATCAATTTAACTTTTTAAAGGATTTTTGTCAACAGCCATCTATATGAATACAGGGTGATTTTTTTAGACTAAGTACATACTTTAACATAATGTTAATTGAGTATTCCATAATTAAAAAAAATAGGTATTAATATTTTATTTTGAGAAGAAATAACCAGAAAAATATCAATTCCAACATTGTTTGTTTATCCCGTTAAGAGTGGTCACCCTATTGATGCGTTCAGCGAACAGTTTTAGTGCTCGTGAATAGGTTATTGTATTTAGACGGTAAGGTAACATTATGAACACCAGGTTCATAATGTTTGAAATAAATTAAAAATAATCTTTGAACAAAAATTGAGGTCACAAGTACCAAATTCATATTTAGAATCAAATTCTGCATATGCACTGTTAATAGGTCCGTCGTCAATATATATTTAAAATATTTTAGGACACATTTTTACACAACATTTTCTAGTCCCAAACTAAGCAACGCTTGTACTATGGGTACTAGAAAACTGATAAACATACTTAAATATACTTTTCTTTTGTAAATAAATACATATTATAGATATATAAACACCCAGACACTAGAAAAACACTATGTTCATCACACAATATTTTTCCAGTAGTGGGGATCGAACCCACACCCTCTGGCGCAGGAGGCAGGTACACTAACCACTACGTCATTCAATAAAATTATTCTGTATATGTAAAGCAGTTTCGTAAGTTTTTAACAGATTTGAATCAAATTAAATGTTAAATAGGATTGAATCATTATCATCATCATCATATCAGCCGTAGGACGTCCACTGCTGAAAATAGGCCTCCCCATTGACTTCCACTTCGACCGGTATGCATCCAACGCGTCCGTGTGGGAGGCCTTCCTACGCTGCGCTTGCCGTCACGTGTAGGCAAATTTATTTTAGTTTTTTTTTTTATTGTACAAAATTTTAAATTTAAGAAACAGGTACTTTGTATTTTTGTTATGAAATTCAGAATGTTGTCGTTAAGGGTATTTTTTATACTACTCATTTAGATTTTGATTCTGAAACAAACATAGTGTTGTATGTATAAGTAATAGGAGTAAATATTATATATGGTTAAGAAACAGAAATTGCCATAAACTTGGTGTATGTTAAATAATTCTCAAATACACAAGATACTGTATATGACGGTAGTAGCTAACATTTAGTGCAAGAAAGAGAGCAATATTATGCGCTAGCAGCACGCGGACGCTTGCAGAGTATGAAAAAGACCACCCCATTGTATCTGCGTTCTGCACGCATTTCCAACGAATCCTCTCTGTGCACGGACTGCTGTCTCAGTACAGTACGAATCTCTGCCTCCCTCACAGCCATTAGTCGGTTCTCTTGCCAACTATTTGCCTGGTGTCAAATCTCGATTTATTGTTTAATCTGTATTAATATTCATTGTGTATTCACCTACTGTAAAATTAATGCAAGAACAAATTAAAAATAATCTTTGAAAAAATGAGGTCACAAGTACGCACCAGATTCAGATTAAGAATCAAATTCTGCATATGCTCTGTTAATCTGTCCGTTGTTTATCTAATCACTCGGTATAGAGAACACAACATGCCGCTATAGTGTTGACAACTTGGCTTACTTGTCATTTGTAGAGCTAAAATAAAAAAATGGCCTTAGCCTATTGCTTACTTAGCATTTTGCTAATTATGTCAACAGTCATAAGCATGAATAAAGAAAAGCTTGTGACAGGGTGTTAAGGATCAATTTGTGTGGAACACGAATTGTTATTTAAGTTTGTTCATAACAGGTAGTTCCTGTTATCTCAAGATACCTGTTATAACTATATACATTACCTGTTACGATAAATACCCCACTCCTGCTAAGGTTTTTCCCGAATAATGAAATATTACGTTGGGGAAAAACTCTTTTCGCAAATAGTATGTAATTATGTATGTACTTATAATATAATCTCTTTGGCTATACCATTTGTATCTGGCTGGTTTTGGTATCATTAAAAAGTTTAAATTTTAATAAAGATAATTCCAAATTCAAATTAGGAAAATGTGTGATTTCCATTTGTTTTTCTTACTGTTAAGATGAGTGATTCTAATGAAGAAATTCGATACATTTTAAAATTTTACTACAAAAAAAAAGTAAAATTCAACGCAAGCCGCGAAAAAAAATTGTGATATTTATGGACCTAGTGCAGCGTATGTGAGAGTAGTACAAATATGGTTTAAGCGTTTTCAATCCGGAAATTTTGAGTCAAAGATGCACCTCGCTCTGGGCGCCCTGTTACGGATAATGGATGCCATTTTTGAAAAAGTGGAGCAAGATTGGCATATCAGTAGTTGAGATGTAGCTGTAGAACTGGGAATTTACCACAAAACATTTTTGGCGCATTTGAAAAAAGCTGAGTACACAAAAAAGCTCGATATTTGGGAGCCTCATGAGCTGGCTGAAAGAAACCTAATGAACCGTGTACTCATTTGTGATTCTTTATTACGACGTAATGAAAACGAATCATTTTTGAAAAACCTGATAACTGGTGATGAAAAGTGGATCACGTACAACAAGAACGTGCGAAAAAGGTCGTGGTCAAAGGCTGGTCAGGCTTCACAGACTGGCAAAACCCGGGTTATCTCGCAACAAGTTAATGCTGTGTGTATTTTGGGATTGCAAGGGCATTATTCATTATGAGCTGTTACCGCCAGGACCATTGATTCTGAACTTTACTGCGAACAACTGATGACATTAAAGCAAGAAGTTGAGAGAAAGCGGCCGAAATTAATCAACAGAAGGGGTGTGGTTTTTCATCATGATAACGGTAGACCTCACACATCTTTAGACACCCAGCAAAAATTAAGAGATTGGCTGGGAGGTGTTAATACATCCGCCATCTAGTCATGACCTTGTACCTTCAGATTTCCACTTGTTTCGGTCTCTCCAGATTTTTTTAGGCAGTGCCAGGTTAACATCGACGAACAGTAACTAACATCACGATTGGACGTACGGTGGTAGGGCCACGCAGCAGCCTCGGCTGTTGCACGAATGGGCAGGCTCGTCCGGGTAAGTACTACGACCTCACAGAAGACCAGCGTAAAGTGGAACTATGACAAATACTTTCGCGTTTCGTCCGGTGAATGAAGTAGCCGGAGTCCAAAAGGCTGTCAACTCATCTGTAACCCTCGGATGTAGCAGATGTCCATGGGCGGCGGTATTCACTTACCATCAGATGAACCGTCTGCTCGTTTAGCAACTTTTCACATAAGGACTGCCAAAACCACTTGTCGCGGGTTTTTTATCAGAACCCCCAGAATTTCTATAGCAATGGGATAATGTCCCTAACTACAAAATGGCAGAAAGTTATCGAACCAAATGGCACCTACATACTTTACTTAATTGTAAATAAACTTTATACATTTTTTTTTTAATTTTCATATTAAATGCGACGAAAATTTTTCCCCAACCAATTATACAATTCAGTTTTCGGAGTTAGCTATATGTAACTCGAGGGGTGATAATTTTCGAAATAAACTTCTTTGGCCATATTTTTTCTTTCTAAGCCAAACTCGAATGCTTAGGTAAAACGAATTTTAAGCCAAATGAATGTCGTCAAAATAAAATTAAGAAATCGTATTTACTACATAGTACATACACTGAACTCGATTCTACACATCAGATATGGCCTACACATCAGATCAGGATAATGCTGTTTTTTATAATTATTACGTTCCTGAAGAGCTATTAAAACAAGTTACTAGACAAAGTAAACATCATTACACTGCTTACTTACAATTATTTACATTTGTACTTTATTTAAACAAGACTCTGCAGTTAGCGCAGTAAAGCCGAGTCTAGATTTTTCCATATACAAAACGGCAATCGGCAACACTGCCCCTCTAACCCGCTATTTTCATCCTAGGGTACTCATTTGTCAACAATCAACATTATGGAAATTGGAAACCAAAGAGTACTTTTTTCTATCTGAACTGATGGAAACTGTCTGGTTGACATTAGAGTTAGACATTACTGAACTGAACATTTATATTATACCTTGCTTTAGTTTGAATAAACTGACGACATTAAAGTTACAGAATGATGCAAATTCCATATGCAATCAGATAGACAGAGAACTCTCTTAAGTAAAGAATTACATCTGACAAAAATAAAGCAAATATGAATCCTATGACGTAAGTTTGCTGAAACAATTTTTTTTAATGCACTAGTAGGTAATAAGCAACCTATGTTTTTGGTTTTTGAATTCCGTTTACAAATATTAATTCTTAAAAAAATATGTATATTATATATTGACAAACTGGTTTACTATTTTAGAAATGTTAAAAATGTGTTAAAACTCAGCGAGAGGGAACTAACTGGTAATTCTAAAACATCATGGCATGATCAATATAAAGACAGTGCTTGGATATTTATTGGTGGTATGCCCTATGATTTAACAGAGGGTGATGTAATTTGTGTATTTTCTCAGTAAGTATGTTTGTATGTAAAAAACCATTATCATTGTAGTAATTTTTGCTACAAATTTACTATTAGCTCAAATCCTGTAAATCTTTTTCAACAAAGACTTTTGTAGTTTAAAATATTCATATTAAACTTTTCCTTATCTATACTAATATTATAAATGCGAAAGTAACTCTGTCTATACGTCTCGCTTTCACACTAAAACTACTTAACTGATTTAAATGAAATTTGGTACCGTACACAGATAGTCTAGAGCCAGAGAAAGGACATAGGCTATTTTATTAATTGGAAAAAAACGTTGTAAAGGGTTGAAAATATCTTTATTTAAAAAATAAATATAGTTTTTAATGAAAGATGTTTATTTAAGGGTTTCAAGGCGAGCGAAGCCACAAACTAAAAGCTAGTTGAACTTGATTTTGACTAACTTAAAATTGAAATAAAGAGATGTATATTGTTGTATGTTTATAAATAATTTTATTTACATGTATATTACAAATAATATTTGTTGATGTATATATTTGCTTTTTTCTTTTCATAGTTCCTAGAACCTATTATTATTGTCCTAACCATCATTAAATTATTTGTAATATAAGTTAAATTTATAATACATTATATTTTAATATATGTTATTTTAAGGTACGGTGAAATAGTTAACATTAATCTTGTAAGAGACAAAACAACTGGGAGATCTAGAGGATTTGCATTTATCTGCTATGAAGATCAACGTTCTACTATCTTGGCCGTGGATAATTTAAATGGAATTAAGGTATTAAGTATGAGAAACAATCCATCAACCTAATTTATTTCACCCAAACTTTTATTAGTTTTACCATAGTTTCTCTCAATAGGAACTTATAATTTCAATCTTACAATTGAACAAAAACTACAGTATCATATTATAAGATTAATATTTTTAGTTATTTTAGCATGCTGTGAAGTTGTTGACTACTTAGCTCAGCAACAAAAGTTACACAAATTTACAATAAAAATTTTATAATTTTTCATTCAAGAGAGTTTTGCAATACCAACCAAAAAGTAATGTCCCTATATATCTTCCAGGAAAGGCTTAAATACTGTATTAAGGGGTAAATATAATTTTGCTGGAATTTTAATTCATAAGAATAAGGATTTCAATGGCAAATTTCAAAAAAATAATAATATTAATATTTTTAGTAACCCATTTGTAGTAAAATAGTTATAGTATAAGTAAGTAGTAATAATAAGTAGTCTGTTGACAAAATGTTTTTTATGTTTAATTTTTTCAGATATTGAATCGGACAATCCGGGTTGACCATTGTGAACAGTACAGGGCACCTAATGCTGATATGTCAAAAATTGATGAATTGACAGCAACACTGAGGGTTGAAGGTTGTGCCCCAGTTGCAGTGAAAAAAGAACAAGTTACGAAAAGTTTAAAACAGGTAATTCTATATTAAGGTTAGATGTTTGTTTTAATGATTTTCATGGTTTGAATGCTATGAATGTCTACAATTTTATGGGTGTTGTTCATGTCCATTAAATATAGAATGATCATCATCAGGCAAAAATGTCATATTACATTTAGAGTAATTAAAAAAAAATGTTTGGTTTCTTTTTAGATACCAATAAATAGAAGAAACTTGTCAAGTCTCTTCTATCCTATCCTTATTGTTGACAAATTTACTTTAAGTTTGTTTTAAATATTATAGGAAAAGGAACATAAAGAAAAAAAGAAAAAACATAAAGAGAAAAAGAAGAAAAAGAAAAAAAAAAGTAAGAAGTCTGAAGGTGATAGTGATACTAATGAATAAAATTATTTTTGTAGAAAATATCAAATAAAACCTTTTGTCAGGTAAATGATTTTATTTTGAAATAATGAAACTTACATTATATAAAAATTAGGAAAAAGTTAAAACAATAATTTTATTACTCTTATTTCAAGACGTTACATGTGAATGTCCTGTATTTAGTATATTTTGCGCATTTTTTTATGTTCATATTCAGATTCTTAGTGCATCTAGTCATTTTAATAATTGCGCAAAAAATTTACTAAGATATTTAGCTAAATGTTTAGATCATTCATTATGTTATGGATCAAATGCTGGGCTGAATATTCAAATTTGGTTGATCCCATATTCAGCACCCATCTAGGGAAATCTCAATATAATATAATATTTGAATGTAACAACAGTGTTTAATAGTGAGATCATTATCAGGTACAAGGTATCACAGTGCAAAAATAGACTAAAAATGTTATCAAAGCAGAACTTGTCAACATGATTGATTTTAACTAAATAATTATAATTTGCAATATAATTTTGCATAGATATAAGTTAATTCAAAACATTGAGAATTTTTAACATTGTACTCTTGCTACCATATGCTATGATGCCTTCAGAGTTACAATATTCCTTCGCATCCAGACCCTCGGTATCATTATAAGTTATTGAATTGTGTGTTGAAAATGCGACAAGTCCTCCACCTTTTGCATTCAAAATTGCATTTGGTGCACAAGTATCCCATCGGAAAGTAGTGCTTCCTGATACTACATATGCAGCAGCTTCACCTGTCGACAAATGTCCAGCAGTAAAATATGTATTATATAAACATTTTACTAGAATTTATATATTTATTATTTATTTACATTAAAGTGATAAGATTATCCACCATTGATATAAATACAAATGTGGAATAATTAGGAATAGCAGTAAATAAAGTAAGTAGGTATTTCCAAGGAACATTTTGTTGCTCAATAAAACAAAATTAAAATAAAATAAAATAGTTAAAAAATCCACAGGTACCTAGGATGTACAGACATAATTAAAGCATACTTAAAATATGGCAAAAGAATTTAAGATAATAAATAGTTGTTCTAGTTTCATATCTTACACCTAGATTTCTGTTTTTGAGTTTTAAAATACTTCTTCAATATAGGATTAATTTATCCTGTAGTAAGGATTATGTTTAGAAAAATGTTAAGTATGGTAAATAATTATAATTACGGGGGAAGGGCCATGCCACACCTGCTGCAACAGCTGTGCAGTCATCCGGGAAAGCAACAAGGCTTCAGAGAATACTTGCGTGAAGTGGAAGTATTATACTTGCGTTTTATTTGGTAGGTTAATTGGGGCTCACTTTTTAGGCAATGCATATGGAACCCAGGGTGTTTTGATGTCCATAGGAGTGCTGCTTGTACACTTTGTACAAAAAAAGATGACAATATATCAACAATCCTCACCTAAAGCAACTTTCAACAGTTTATGACCAGCTCCAGGGACAGAAGTTACCTCCCACCCAGAATTCTTCAATTTTTCAACAATGTCTGGTTTTTCGGCCCCACTTATTAGAACTACATTTTCTCCAGATCCTACTTCTTTGTTATCATGACTCCATTTAGAAACCCCATCATAGCTAACTCCCCACACTACACGACCCTTATTGCTGTTGAAAACAGATACTTTTGAAAATGTTATAATAAAAAATGTAGTATTAAATAAAACTGGTACAAGATATTTAATAAATGGATTTGACCTCATCTCTTATCATTCTGTGATAAAATATTTTTATCATATTATAATTATTTTATTTTCATTTCATATTTTTAACCAAATCTCAAATTATACAAACCCATTATAAAATGGTTGATTGATTACGCCTACAACTGGCTCTCCAGATGATCTTAAGTAAGCCCCAACTAAAACAGAGACACAGACCAAGCCATGTTTGGGATCTCCTTCTCCTTTTACTCCAGCTATGAATTCTGCTGTTGCATCTAAAAATCAATATTATAAGAGATTTCATAAAAGTATGGTTATTGTTGAAAAACTTATAGTTAAATTTTTAAAATAGTTATACATTACCATACCTATAGGGTCAATCCACACACCTAGATCATTGGGATCCAATAATATATTTGGCAAGTTATTAGTTAGTTCATAATTCACTTCTGAATGAGCTGCTTGTGCAAGACATTTTGCAGTGGACAGAGGAACTAAAGAACTAATTAATTCTGCTGTCTTTTCTGAAGAATCCTGCAAACAGATCTTAATACCGTTAATCTCATTACGCTCTTCACCCCTAATATGTTTGGCAAGGTTTGGAAGACAGGTGGCTATTTCAGCCTTAGCACTTTCTTGGGCCAACACATCAGCTATTGTTTTAAAATCTTTATTGAAGCGAGCGTTTGCTTCATTTTCACCTTTTTCAGTCACGAGTAATGTCTCATCGGATGAATCTGCACAAGACCGAGCAATACAAGCAGCTCTCTCTGACGCTTTAATAAGAACTTCTAAAACATTCATTATTTCAACAAGCGATTATGATTTAATAAAGTTCCAAAATTGTTTGATTGGTTATATCAATAAGTTACAAACAAGCACGACTACAAAATACAAATTATGAAATTTTGATACAATTACAATACTAATAATTAGGCATGGGCAAAAAATATCGATATATAAAAATATCGATATTTTTCCAAATAAAAATCAATATATATCGTCGATATTTTTATCCCCGATATATCGATATTCGATATTTATTTTCGAATCCTGAAAAAAATATATCGAATTCGTGTCAATTTCGATATATTTTTTTAATACCACTCTGGTTTGGTCTCTAAAGGATGCGTGCACGATTATATTTTTTTTTAAATGAAGATTATATGGCCTGGTCATAAGGACTTTAAGCCAATACCATGAAAATACTAATTATTAATACCTTATTACCTATTGAACCATCAGTGCGAGACGTATATGTCCCTAAAGTTAACAAACAATTAACAAGTTTTGGATCTTTTTTTTTAACATATCAAAAAAGTTACAAAATTGCACATGTAGAAATTTAAAAACTCTAAGTACAACATTTTACATATTTTCTTTTAAAATTTATCGTTGGAAAAGTTTCAAAAGTGATTAAACGTCGACTAACTTCAGTATCATAGGAAGTTGATCAACTAGTTAAATTCTTCAACTATTTAGCGTGATACTTATGCCAGTTTCATGATTTTATTTAACGCTGCGACGTTCTATGAGTCCAAATCGTCCTACTGATTAAGTTAGTTAAGTTGAAACTTTTTTATGACGTTATTTTTCAAAAAATAATTTACTATATGCAACTTTACAGAAATTGGTTAAATAAAGTTAAATTAGATAAAGATATAATATTTAGTTTCTTATTTGTAATACATAGGTGGCGTTAGTAGTAAATTAAAACACACTATGGTTTGACCGTTGTAATTAGTATGAGGGTCCGCAAAAATTGTTGATTAAAACCCAGTCAGATAATAGCTACCGATCGAGCCGAGGTCTGGCCCTCTCGGGCACCCTCGAATCGGAATGCTAAACGCGTGGTGAGTGACAGCCCAAGCCGAGGTCCCCTCTCGGGGACCCGAGGCTCCCCCGGGAACCCTCGAGCTTAGTCACCATAACGCGTAATAATAGTACGCAGAGGTTCAGGCTAGGCGCCTCGTGCGCCAGGCCACCTCAAGTCCGTCGGATCTGTAAAGGCCCCTAAGGCCAACAGTGGCTCATCCAGCCCAAAAAAAAAAAAAGGTTGATTAAAAAACTTGCAACGTGAACCTTGTTATTTCAATTAACCTCACGGACCCAAAATACAACCGCTTTGAATTTGTACATGGTCCTTCGTTGCCGAATAGTCAGCCAGTGAGTAGAAGGCAGACATTCGACTCGCGCGCGAGTGTTGTGAGTTGAGTTTTTTTGGAAAACCGAACTTGCGGACGTTGGATCGACGTCGCAACCGCAAGTTCCAGGAGCCGATCGAGGCTTCAGATTGTGTCTTCGGTGGAAGGCGCAGTCAGGTCACGGTGGGCGGTGCCTGCCTTTGGAGAAGAGGAAGTCTCTACAGTGTCGTGCTCTGAAGTATTAGAGCTAGCACTGTCATTACTACAAATATTATTATTTTGTAATACAATTATTACTATCATTGATGACGTTATTATATATTTGTGTTATTAATGGCTTATGGTAACTGAAATCACGAAATATATTGTTTACATTTTAGAATTAGAATTAAAATAAACCCTTTGATTTTGCTGATCACTTTAATATAACATATCTATATATTGTTATGAACACACAAAGGAACTAACGCCATCTAGCGTCAACTATTAAAACCACTAAAGAATAAAGACGACATAAAACCCCCTATTCAACACTAGATGGCGTTAGAGGAACATTTTAAGATAAGAACAAGATGGCGCGTAACGCAAAAATGTTACACTAAATTTTTTTCCAACCCCGATAAAGAAGTTTCACTTCAAAAACGTTAAAAAGAAGTAAATTTCAAAAGCCATTTGACAGGGGAGCCTATTAAACAGAGGTTGCTCTGTCCATATGATGTAGATGATTATTGGTTCGAATAAATTGTATTTGGTTGAGTCGATTATTCATAAATACACGAATTTTGAATGGTTTATATTTCTAAATAATGAAAAAAAAAACCTTAAAAAATATATCGATAAGATCGAAATCGTATCAAAATCGATTTTTATTCAAACTGATACAAAGCCTTAGAAGATAAGAATGAACGGAAAAGACTTTGGTTTATTACTAGTATTGTCGCGGATACAGAGTTGCATTTTGTACTATAATTAAGGTATGTATACTACAATTTGATGATTCGTACTATTCATATCTTAGGTACAACATGATATAGGTGTTACAAATCATTAATTTTGAACTACATAATACGTATTATATTAATTTATAAATAGCATGCAAAATATTATTGGCACCAACTAAAGTTTCTTTAATTGAATATGTAAGTAAAGATAACAAAATTTAATTATAATCACATTCTCAATAACTAAATGTCACTTATAATATCGAGTTTTTATAAAAAAAATATTTGACGTCATCAAAATTATTATAAGTAACTTCTTTATATTGTCGTTCAGCATTTTCATGTCAATCAAACAAATATTACTAAATTTTGTTCACCTAGGCCTGTCTTTTAGGACAAGTCTATGCAGGTTTCTTATTGATCCAGTATCAACTTAGTTTTAAACAACTTTTTATGTTTTTTTTACAAAGTTACATGTTTTTTAATTAGTTATTTTTTGATTCGATTCATGGCTAAAGAAACTGATTTATCTTACTAAACAAGCTGTTTATTTTTGAAGTGAAACTTCTTTATCGGGGTTGGAAAAAAATGTAGTGTAACATTTTTGCGTTACGCGCCATCTTTTTCTTAGTGGTTTTAATAGTTGACGCTAGATGGCGTTAGTTCCTTCGTGTGTTCATAACAATATATATATATATATATATATTAAAGTGATCAGCAAAATAGGGTTTATTTTCATTCTAATCTAAAATGTAAACAAAATTTCGTATTTCAAAGGGTTTATTTTCATTTCATAGTAATAATTGTATTACAATTAATGAAATTCAATAGTAATATTTGTAGTAATGACAGTGCTAGCTCTACTACTTCAGAGCACGAATGCTCTTCGAAGCCTCGATCGGCTCCTGGAACTTGCGGTTGCGACGTCGATCCAACGTCCGTCCAAGTTCGGTTTTCCAAAAAAACTTCACTCACAACACTCGCGCGCGAGTCGAATGTCTGCCATCAACAATTTTTGCGGACCCTCATACTAATTACAACGGTCAAACCATAGTGTGTTTTAATTTACTACTAACGCCACCTATGTATTGCAAATAAGAAACTAAATATTATACAAAACTAAAATGAAATAATTGGAGAATTTGTATTTATGTCTATGATAATAAAAGCCTTTTATTAAACTTTATCTAATTTAACTTTATTTACGCTAGACACGCACACATTTTTTTTTTCCAATGAAGGAAATAACATACCTAGAAATTTAGATTAATAAAAAAATATTATTAAAATTAATAAATAATACACGTTTTATTACAATTTCTCATTCATTTAAGTAATGAGAATTTGGTTTAAAAATTACTATTACTTTTTATTAAATCAGACTGAACTAAATAACTTATTTTTTAAAACTGAAAGTATGGCCGATATAGCGATTTTTTTTCGATATATCGAGGCCGATATTGATATTTCGATAAACATCGATATTTCCATATTTTTTTTTGACTTTTGGCATCCCTAAATACTACCTTATTATTAGGATATATATCGATATATCGATATTTTTAGCTGATATATTTTTATCATATATCGATATATCTTTCAGGTTCCTTCCATGATATAATATTTTCAAGATGTAATCTAAATTTACATATTATCTAATAAACCTAATCCACGCGGCATGGTGCTAAGAACGCTAGCTGCATTTCCTCGCTTAATACTTATGCTTAACCTTTGAGCGAGAAAAGAACCAGCTCTCTTGTCACCATCCGCCGCGTTAAGCCTAGGATATAAACTTTAAAAAAAAAATTGATGCGCGTGGATCCCACGGACCTAAAGTTTCAACAGCAAATGGCACAAATACATAATCTATATTTCATAATCTATACATAATCTCTCCATAAAAACTCATATTTGCAATATTTGCGCCATTTACTTCAGTTGCTTCCGATGCCGCCCCGGCCCTGACTTAAGTACCCCTTAGATTTAGATGAGAAGCAGCCAAAACTTCTACACAAGTGGCGTCGGATTCCTACAGCAACGCGTAAGCTTTCATCGTCAAAAAGTGCCCAAGTTACTTGATGTTAAAGCGTGAAGCAAATAACTCGATTCTTTAGATGAGACGCCTAGGAAACGGGCACGCTCTAAATTAGTTTCTAAAGATTGAAACGTATCTTTCTCTACTCTCCGCATCAAAGGAACATCCCACTGTTTTTGTAAGTTGACTTCTAGTGGTATATTTTCGTTGGAGCAGATAGATAGCCAAGATTGCCTCCTCGGCATAGGAAAGTTCTGAATTGTGATTAAGGATATTATAACATAAATTATTTACGCTATGCACGGAAGCAAGGAAGGCAGGTAGAGCGACACTAGAAATTTTCCTTACACCGATATTACCAAAACAAATTGGCAGCGTAGCTTGAGTCCGGCTTAATTCATTAAGAGATAAATTTAGGATTTTTTCTAGAGCTAATTTAAGATGGAAATCAATTTCGTTCAAAAAGTCACCGCATTTCCACACTGGACCCGAGCGAAGGAGGTATCTAAATTTAGGTACAAGAATACAATGTCGCAAAATAATAACTGTGGTAGGGCCATATAATAATAACTGTGGTAGGGCCACGCAACAGTGTTCGCTGTTGCACGAATGGGCAGGTCCGTCCGGGTTAGTACAGCGACCTCACAGAAGACCGGCGTAAAGTAGAAGTGGTACACTTCTGCG